TCAAGGGTCTGAGGCAAAGCACCTATGTTTAGCGTCCTGCTCTGCCTCTCAGGATTGGGAAGACAGAGCTCTGTTTACACTTCTTGTCACTGTCTCCTTTAATAATAATACGACGCTGTATTGAACTGAGCTTTGCGTTTGCTGACTTGGTGCTTTAACCTGTATTACCATTTCCTTTCCCTCTACTGTTGCAAGTTGCTTTTCACTCATTCGTTTAGTTTTTAATGGTTCTCTCCCATGTCTACAGGGAATAAGAAGGTAAAGCACAAACTCTACCTTCACGGAAATTTTATCATTTTAAAGTTCAAGTATTATTTCTGACTTTTTAATCCCAATGACACAATCAGACATTATTTGCCTGATCTGTCATGCTATAACTTGAATCCGTTCACACATATGGAGCAGTTTTCCATGGTAAAGATGAGCTGCCTTTGCAGGGCCTTTTTGCTGTTTATATTTTTTGCTCATAGCTCTTCCTGGTCTTAAGAGTTTGCTCAGACACCCTTTGCTGTTTCCCGGCCTGGGCCTGGCATGCTAGCCTTCTTCAGCTTACCTGCAGACTGAGGCTTGTATGTGGGGACAGAAAGCCTCAGTCCACACTGTGAGAGCACGGGCAAACATGTTGCAGGTCCAGCAATGATGGAGGCATATGCACAGTGCAGTAGTCAGAGAACATCGGGACCATAGGTGGTCTGGGGCCACTCATCATAGGGGGTGGGACCCACCCCCTGTGGGAAGGGGCCACAGGACAGGGACCTTCAGATGCCTATAGACATGTGTGGGAGTGGGCAGGGTCTGACATGAGCCACTGTGCTCAGAAGAAAGAAAAGACGATATTTGCTTTGTTTATAAGTGAATCACTCTGCACACTTGAGCACACTTCACCATGCCTATAGGGACTAAGAAAGTCTGTACAGATGTGCTGGGTTGGGGGTTGTGCAGGCTAAGGGGGGCAGTGCCTGGCACAGCCAGGGCTTGACCTCCTTCACAGTGACTTGTTAGTCCGGTTTGAGTGGAAACACCCCTTTGAAGGCAGGGGCGTTCTTACTGCTATGCAGAACATTAGGCTATTTTTCAGGTGGCAGAGAGAACTTTCTGCTTCTTCTGGCAGTGAACCCCATCTCTATAGAAATCTCTGCCTCTTGTGAGTAGGAGTGAACCCAGAACACTCTCCTCACACCTTATCAGCTGTGCACGAAGACAGTATCAGTGGCTCTTGTCAGAGACTGGGGGTTGCCAGGGTGGGGCTTTGCTCACTTGTCCCCGGGGAGCTGAGTTGGACACAGCTGCTGAGCTGCAGGAGAGCTTGGTGCCCAGTTGCAGTGTCCCCATCGTGTGCTGTGTGTGGCCTGTGGGGACAGTTCCTTGTTGGCTGTCCGAGAATTGCTGGAACTTTGTCAAAAGGGCAGCAGCATGAGTGAAAGCTGTCTGGTTTCTTTCATTGCAGCCCAAGTCCCAGGCTGTGAGCATTGTAGGTGATTTCAGAGGGTACCTCCTCATCACCAAGAATGAGAACTAGCTGCAGAGTGGAAAGCACCTGCATGATAGACTCACTTTCCTGCACTAGGGGGCTACTATGGAACCCTGTAAGGGGGGTGTGCAGTCCTGCACTCATTCAGAGTGTCCTGGGAGTGTGGCCATCAACGAGCATGGCCCTGTTTCTGCCGCTCCTAGGAGAGGCCTTGTGGGGTTGCCTATCTGGCCAAATAGGCCAGACTAGGACACAATTTGAGGCAATTCTGCCCTTTCTGAAGTTAGTTTGGATGTTCCATTGAGTCTTAAGAGTTGAATCAGGCTAGTCTGAATATCATTTACCTGACTTAGTTCAATGCCTTTTTTTTTTTTTAAACAAGGAACCGAAATTGTAGCTTTTTTCACTCTAAAATCATTGCACACCAGAGCTGGAAAAGAGATGTCTGGTTCATTACTGCTTCATTTTGCAGAGGAGCTGTGAACCTCAGTGGCCACAACACAAGTATTAGGGACCCGTATCTCTGGCATCTGCACCTCTTTTAAAGTCTCAGTTTCTTTCTTTCTGGAAAGAAAAGCATAGCTGTAGGGATGACATGAGGTGGCAGGCAGCATGGATGTCATGGTGCTGTGATCTTCACTAGCCTAAGTTAATGGCCCTGCCTGAGCTGGGAAGACAGGTGTAGCCTTGGTGCACTGTCCAGAGCCAGCCCAGAGTGAGCCCAAAGTGGCTTTCTGTGCTGTACCAGTATAGTCCTCCCTGTAGCAAAAGTGACCAAGGGTTCTCTATCCCTTCTCTATTTTCTATACTGGGATCCAGAGGGAGAAGAAACTAACTTAAACCCCCACCACAAGACCTGACATGATTTTAAAACTAGATTCTATACCATTCCTGTGAGACTTGTGGAATGTCCTTAATCTCTCCCAACATCATTTCCTGTACCTGTGAAATGAGGACATCAACAAAGCTGGCTTGTGGGGGCTGACAGGTGAGAGTCATCTAGTGACATGCAGGTGCGTCATGCATTGGTCACATGCGGCCAGCTCTTCTGATACTCAACTGTGGGTGTTTCTGGCAGCAGTCTAATTGTCATCAGGAGAACTGTGAGAAACTGAGGTTGCTGTCTCTTTCCACCTGAGCACTGAGACTCCATAATCACATCCTGCCATAGGCCATGGCTTGTGAGGTGCTTCACTTCCAGTCTCCTGGCTCTTGAGGGAGGCATGGCTTACCTGTGAAGTAGACATCCTGTCTGTTTGCTTTTCCTTCCTGGTTCCTGGCTCTTGACCTAGGTACAGGGTAGGTGCCTAAAAAATAACAAATGAATGCAGAAAGACATTCTGTGCCCTTTCTGGACTATACAGGTTCCAGATGGGGCCTTTGGTTCTAATCCCACAGGCTTGCTGACCAGCCTGGCACCTGTGTCCCAGAATGGCTCTGACCCTCTAGGGAAGTAGTGGAGGACACATCTCAGTAGTGCCCTTCCTTACCAAGACATCCTATGGGAATTTAATCAGCATGGTGTGATTTTCTTATGCACCATATCATGTTTTACTACCTTTTCCAAAAAGAGAAGTTCTTCTGTTTTTTATTTGCTGGGTCTGTATAAACATGTGTTTGACATAAATGCAGTAAAATTAAAGTTAAATCCAGTTTCTAAAAACTTATGAAAGCTAAATTATACTAGATCCCCACTGTGCCTTTCTATTTCAGTCTTTAGAAGCTGGTGCTCTGCTCTACAAAGCCAGGGCTGTGTGAGGCCCCGGCAGGGGGGCTTTCGTGGGGGTGGGGGATGAGTGTGGGCGCCTCTCTTGCTTTTGTTTTTTCTTTGCAATTTATTTGCTAGTTTAATTCTGATTCCACCTTGCTTTGATTCTTACAGATGCATCAGAATAAGAATCGCTTAACCCAGAATGGGTTATGAGTTAGTGTTTAGGAATTTTCTCAAAAGACTGTTCTCTCAGTACCTTCTTCTAAATCCACCCTCCCAGGGGGCGCACTGCGGAACGTGGTCAATACTTGGGTCTCTGCACTGTGTGCGTTACAAACGGGGTTTTATTCCCTCATACTTTATGGTAAAGCGGGTGTCACCCCGAGCTGAATAGGTACACTTTCCGCTGCACTGGGCACCCAGAGCCGGGTACTGCCCTAAGGCCCAGGAGGCCCAGCCCTGAGCCCGCCAGGCTAAGGTTCATCCACTTACTTTATGTGCACATTGAAAGTGAGCATCTCTGATACAGCTCCCAGCAAGCCTAAGAAAATAGCTTGTGAAAAATACTCCTGCTTTTCTGCAGGGAGATTCCCCAGGACAGCATCCCTGGGAGCTCTCCATAACCCCAGTCCCACGTTAAAGCCCGGCCAGCCTCCAGGCCTCTTTCCCAAGCGACTGCCATGGCTTCGACCTTTGTCTCCCTCAGCCAGTACCTGCAAGATTCAGAGTGTAGTGGCTCTTCGTGCTCACCTGTGTGGAAGGAAGGACCGATGCCCGAGGCAGTGACGCCCAGCTGGGTCCCCGTAACCAGCCAGTGGGCTCGCCATCTCTGCCCCTCTCCCACCTCCTCCGCCTCCTCCTTTCCCTGGGTCCTGGAAGCACATACCCTCCACTCCAGCCTTATTTTGCCCTGGGTCCACTGCTGGCATTCCCCACCCAGGGTCGGTTTTCTTTCTACTCTCCCCCTGCTCTGCGTCCCGGCGTTAGTACCCTGCCTCCTCCTTTCCCTGCCTGGGGTCACTCGGCGCTTACCCCCACCTTCCGCTCCTCCCGCCCCGGTCTGGGTCACAGGCGATTCCCCACCCCTTGCACCTCCCCCTGCCCTGGGTCAGAGCTCGTCAGCCGTCCCCCCTTCCCCCACCTTGAGCCGGGGTTCCCCGCCCCCCGCTGGCCGCCACCTGCCGCCCGCCGCCCGCCAGCCCCACTGACCATCTCCCCCGCCTCCCCGCCTTCCTGCGCTCCGCTGGCGCCAGCCGCTCGATGGGTCTTGCACTTTGATTATTTGTGTTAACAGTTAATTTAGCAACGTGGCCGCGTGTGCCAAAGCGGCCTCCACTTCCTTCCAGCTCCCAACAAATGGCACTTTTATGAGAGCCTTTCACAGCGCTCCTGGGCCGCCCCTCCCGACCGGCCGCAGATCTAGCGCTGGCCCCGCAAGCGCCGGCGCCCCGCAGGCCTGGGCGCTGCTTCTCCGTGCGGGAAGGGGCTGTTCCGGCAACTCTGTCTCCCCAGTGGCCCCAGAGGTGCTGCAGGAGAATTAACAGAGCCGCCCAGCACGCCAGGAGCGGCGGCGGTGGTGAGAAGGTCTCCCGTACCTGTGGGCACAGAGCGCCTGGCCCGGCTGGCCCGCATTCAGCGTTCTGTTACTCATGTAACAGTAACATTTGTACCCCCTTAACGTTCCGAAATTAAAAAAAAAATAAGTAAAGTGAGAAATGAAATTAAAAACCAAAAGATCTGTTTGATGTCCTAGTGGGTGGCCACTGCTAAGGGATATTTGGCGGGCTTTTTTTTTCTTCCCCCCTCTTCACTAGGACGAAGAATTTCTGATCCCTTTCAGTTCATCTGCTGACACCCCATTCCGGCCTCAGCTCTGATTTCCTCGACCTCCGGTCTCACAGCTGTACTGACGCCCAGGATGTCAGCAAGCAGTAGTATGGCGTCTCCAAAGAGGTACACCTGATATTCATCAGTTTTCTAAACTGTTTCCTTTTTCATTTCAAAGATTTTGATTTTTCCTGTGCTTAGATTTCTATTATAGATGATGTTCCAGAACATTAATACTATTCAGGCTTTTACTTAGGAAGAGAACTACAGCCATGTTTGTGATAAGCGTGTCCCTAAGCTGGCGAGGGAGGGACTTTGCAGCATGTGGCATTTTAGGAAGACTCAGGAATGGCCTCCTGATGTGCTAGGGGAGGGGCAGGTGTGAGCTAGCCTAAAGGATCACAGTCACCCTGAGTTTAGGTGACCTGGAAGTTCTATTCTGCTTCACCCCAAGCCCAGAGGATCTGAGACCACGGATTGCCTGGATCAATTCCTACCCCATCTGGAAGCTCACCCTTTTCCTGGCTGGTGGAGGCTGCACCTCTCCTGTTCTCAGGGCAGATCCAATGGATGGCTCCTTGGTGGTAGAGCTGCCTTTAGGGCTGGACCTGGGTGTGATGGGGCCTGACTGATTCGCTCCTCTCTGCCTGAGGCTGCCTTCTGCTTTCTCCCACCCCCACATATGCTGAAGGGCTCACAGTGAGGCCAGGCAGACTCAGCTGTCCTTTCTCAAAAGTCCTCATACTCCCCTCAGATGAATGTGTTTTGGCCAACCACAACCCCTGAAGTGAAACAGAGGCATCTACTTCTGTGTGGGTAGGGGAGGGTGCAGTTAGTTCCTCACAGTTAGTTCTAAAGCTACTTTTGTGAAGGTCACAGTGACCTCCAGTTTGCCAAATTCTATGACCACATCCTAATCCTCACTCCCTGTTCAGTTCCCTGCACTGTTGGACACAGTTGCTCAGTCAGACTCTCTATGGAAACACTTTGATCTCTGTAATCACCAAGCAGCCCCCTTACCCCCTTTTCCTCTCAGCTGCCTGCATCTCCACAACCGCCCTGTACTGACAACTCTCAAATCTCCACTTTCAGGGCTATTTACCAGGCCCCTATTTCTAACTAAATCAGGCATTCATGAATGGTTGAATTTCATCATCTTATATGCAACATCTCCACTTATTTGTTTGTTCAAAAAGTAACGAGAGAGGCCATGTTCTTGGTGTCAGGAAAACGATAGTTAGAAAAAAAAAAAATCAAACTGTAAGTTCCCTGCCCTGTTGGGGCCAGAGTGTGTGTGGGCAGTATTCCAGCTGAATCCAGCCCAACCAGGCTCTTTCCCAGACTCCTGGGAGCAAGCATTTGGAGTCAACTTACTTTCCCCTCATTTTTACTTCTTATACTTAAACAAGGACTGTTGCTTCTTCCTGTATGATTTCTTTCTAATCTATTCTTCCCTTCCCATTCTCTCCCATGCTGCAGTGGGATTGAGGTTCTGAATTCCCAAATATTTCTGGTTTCTTCAAACCCTCCCTTTCCCTTGCTGCTAGATTACTTTCCGGAAAGTACAGATCTGATTCGTTTAATCATACATTCAACAAACGGGGATGAGAGCCTCCTAAGTGCTGGGTGCTGGGCTGAGCTGTGTCAGAGAAGGAATGAAATGGCTTGGGAGGAAAATGTGCTGAAAGTCACATTGAAATATAGTAGCCAGCAGCTAAAAGAGAAGTAGGATTTCCTGCCATCATTAAGCCTGGTATCCAAAGCGCCCTATCACAGGCCCAGCTGGCTCCCTGACAGACTTTCCTCTGCTCACTGTCCTCATAGCCTCTTCTGAGCTGCCTGCCTCTCCTGCTGCTCTGCTGTGCTCTCTGCTTTTTCTCTTTGTCTTCAGGATGCTCCATTTACCATCACTGCCAGACATGATTCTTTCTGCTACTAAAACCAAGCTGGAATTTCATGTTTTCCAAGCAATTTTTTAAAATTCAGATTTCCCCAGTGGAAAATATTATCTCTTTCTCAAACTGTTATAGCATTTTATTTGGATGTCTTCCACGATATGGTCAGAGATGGCCTTGTATTAAAGTTATTTGTACTCCTGCTAGCTTTAAGAGCCCTAAGTGTAGCCTTCATTCATTATCTGTGCAGTGACTGCATAGCAAATCAGCCAGCAGGGAAGCTCTTTGAGGGAGTGGCTGATTGAGGGGGTTTGTGTGTGTGGGGTAAACTTCTTTGGGGCCTTAGTGGGGGTCATATCTAGGGTGACTGATATGATGAACACAAAATGTTTTTGAAAAGAGAAAGAGGTTATAAAGATACAGGATGTTGACCGGAATTCACTAACATGATGATCAGAGCAGAGGGCCTCTGAGTTGGAGAGGCCAAGTGTATTTTCAATAAGAATTCAAATGTGGTTGTGTCTGGGATCCCAAGAAAGGAAAAAGACTATTTTGGGTTAGATAAGAGGAACGCCTGCACCCAAGTCTCCTGGTGAAACTGGAACGAGCCAGCTCAGAAGAACAGTAACCCCAGGGAATAGGGGGAAATAAGGCCTAGACACTTTTAAAAGTTAGCTTGATTTTTTGACTACTAAGTACTACAACTTTTTCTTCTATAATTTCTGCTATATATAACATGCACCCTGAATTTTTCTTATGCTTTTGGAGAATGAGAAAGATGGTAAAAGGCACAGGGGTACGGTTTCCTAGGGAAAAGCCACCGAGTCTGACACTGATAAGACAAAGATCAGGGGGCCCAATGAAGTACAGAATTGCCCTTTTCATGCTGTGAATGAGGAAACCATGTCCTCAGTAGCACAACAGTGGCAAAGCTAGTCCTCACTCCTGATTATGATAAAAGAGGAATGGTGTCCACTGTGAGCCTTTCTGGATGCTGTTGCAGGTAACTGGAAGCCTGCTCTCAGGGGCTTCCATGGGAAAGACGGGCATTGCTCTTGCCTTGGAAAGGACAGAGGGAAGGCAGACTCCGGGAGGGCAGAGGCTCTGTTTCTTCATGATTGACCAGTAGGCAGTATGCCCAGAGGCACTGGCCGGCAGAGACTCTGTCTGCCTGCCTGATCTTGGGCCACCATCCTTAGGGGATGCTGAGGCTGATGGCTGCATGTGGAGTTCCCAACCATGAGTGACAAGGGACATGAAGATGCTGTGCTTGACTCAGACGAAAAAAGCTCAGTCCTGGAGCTGGAGGTGAGTCAGATTTCCTTGAGTGACATGGCCTGCCTGGGTGGATTCTCATAAAAGGGGTTAAGAGGGCAGAGGAGGGGTTCTTGGGAGGCTCCAGAGCTTGGCTGGAAAGCAGTTTGTGCCTCCCACAGGTGGTGATTGGCAGCTGCACAACACTCAACAACTTCCCAAATAAGTTGGTGGAAGCTTAAATACTCCAAGGACAGATCCTTTATATTTAAAAACTGCCCATGGCCATGCTCCGAGGTGCTGGGCTGCTCGTATCTGCATCCACCCACCTCACACCTCTGCTCCGTTCCTTGTTTGCCTCTCTGGACCTCCAGTCGTCCTTTCTCTTTCCAACCAGCCTTTTTTCTTTCTTTCATAGACACACATGCCCAGCAAATGAAGTAGCATTAATTCTGGGTTAAAGCAGATTGAAAAACTGTTCCTCTTTACTACCTGCTCCCCTTACTAAGCAAGCATTTATTGGGGACACTGCCCGTGACATCTTCCTTCACCTAGCTACAGTTCTACACAGGGCCTCTTAAGGGACTTGCCCCGAATCCTATCACTTCTAAGTAGCTGGGGTTCTGGCTTATGATTTTATCTTTTACCATCTTCTGCCAAAGCCTATTTTATCAAAAGGAAATTTAGTATTCAGCTTTTCACTGACAGCATAGTTGGCTGATAAAGAAGGTCAGCATTTACAGCCCACCACAGGACACAGTGCTTCCTAAGTATGCCCCTGTTGTATCCTGTGGTTCATTGTGGAGCGGTGAACTGTGGGGTGGAGGGTTTAGCTAATTCCTCCCTGGGTTGTATCTGGATAGACCAGGGGCCACGGGCAACTCTCACACGTTTCTGTAGATGAGTAGAAACACTACAGGCTGGTTATAGGTGAGCTGCTTTGGGATGGGCCCCTGTGTCTGGTGTGGCTGTCGTGGAGGGCGCTTTGGTCTCACAGTGCAGGAAAGAGATAGAGGAGGCTGCCTCGGGCAAACACTTTCCCTTTCTATGGCCTGTGATCTATAATGGAGGCCTGTGTGTGGTGATGCTGCATGTGCTATGTGCATTGCACAGGCCAAGAGCTTTGCCTTTATAGACAGTAGGCCCAGGTGTGGTAAGAAGGATCTGGTATCTGTGACTCTCACCGTAAAGGTGTATCCCAGGGAAAGCTTTCACTTCACTTCCTGACTCAGATAAGAAAGCATAACTTAGTTTCACTTATTTATTTATTTAGAGAGTGTCTCATTCTGTTGCCCATGCTAGAGTACTGTGGCATTGTCATAGCTCACCGCAACACACCCACCACAATACTGGCTAATTTTTTTTTGTTTTTTAGTAGAGACGGTATCTCACTCTTGCTCAGCCTGGTCTTAAACTCCTGAGCTCAAATGATCCAGAGTGCTTGGCCTCCCAGAGTGCTGGGATTACAGGTGTGAGACACTACACCTGGCCTGACTTAGTTTAATTAACCAAGAAACACTAAGCCCTGTTCTGTATGTTCTCCCTTGATTCCATGAGCCATTCCATATCTTTTCCACCAATTGCTATTGGCTTTATGTTGGCTGGAGTAGAATGCTGTTGCTCTTGATCAGAGAGAGTTCTTCCTAACTGTTAGTAGGAAGAAATTATAGATGATTGCTCAGAGAGCACAGAAATATGATGTTTCACCACTGAGTTGGCACAAGCAAATAACAGCAACCTGACATCCTGACCTCTGTGTTTGGAGTACACACAGGTCTGGCCAGTCATTTCAGGGGCACCATGTATAAATCATTCACCCTGAGCGGAAGGCCCTGTGAGAACAGTTTGTCATAGTAGATCTAGAATGATCTATTGAGCCGTTTTTTACCTACTTACCAGTATTTGTGCTTTCGGTTGTCACCTGGCTCTATGAAACCTGCCTACTTACCTCCTGTTGTTAACTTCCTCTTAGCATTAATTATCTGGGCAAAGTTTTGATTATAGACATAGGGAAAGGAAAAATAATAGTTCTGGAATGAGGGTCAGGGATGGGATTGAGAAAAACATCTCTGTGTCTCAAGAGGGTATCTGCAGACATTGTCACCCCTCCCACCTCTGTTCCTCTCTGTTCGTTAGGACAACTAAAGGATATCAGGGGTCCTCAAACTTTTTAAACAGGGGGCCAGTTCACTGTCCCTCAGACTGTTGGAGGGCCAGACTGCGGCCCCTGGGATGAGTTGGCTGCTAAGCAGGACAAGCAGTGGTGGCAAAAACACTCGGTGGGCCAGATAAATGTCCTTGGTGGGCCATAGTTTGAAGATGCCTGGGTTAGATGATAAGACTTTAGATCTCCAAGCTGGCCCAGTGGAGGCTCTTGGACAAGACAGGAGTTGTTCAGACTTGGAGATGTCAAGGTCTTTAGAAATCGTGCAGCACCACTCCAGGCTCCTACGGTGACCACCCCAACCAGGCTGTGGTGGCATTTCCTATTGTGTTAGCCTCCTGGTGGTCATGGCCCACAGGTGTGTCCTTGCTACTGGTTCTCTCCATTCAGCATTATTGAGCCAGGTAAACAGGTGGATGTGGCACTTGATGGAGAAAGATGGCTGCTTCCTCATCCTCTGCCCCCCAGCATACGGCTTGCTTGACCCTTCCACACAGAGCTCCTGGAGGCCACTCAGTCCTCAGGCTGCTTGGGGATGAGTAATTGTCTAAGGCTTTGGTCAGTACAAAATGGAGCATTCCACTGATCGGAGCATCAACAGACTGAAGGGGGCTATGGAATGAGGAACAGAACTTGACTGTGTATTGAGCTGGATTTATAGGAGTGAGGTTAGAAGTGGAATTGTAAGAAGTTTTGTGGTTAGAGTTAATGGAGTGTTTCAATGAGCTGGATTTCCCCCCACCCCCCTGCTGCCCCCCGCCCTTGTAGTTACAGGCTTTTGCATCGCCAGGTAGCATTTTGTACCTTTTCAGTTTGAATGAAAAGTTCTTCTAATTTTGTCTAAATTCAAAAGCCAGAGTGGAGTTATTTCTGGTGAGGAAAGAGCAGGTAGACGGGCACTGATTAGGCTGCCATTAGAAAGGCAGAGCAAGTTCAGACCTGCTCCAGCAAGACCTGTCTCAATGTGTATTGATAATAAGGAGAAAATATGGACGGGAAGAGAAAAAGAGCTGTTCATCAGGAGGGTCCCTGCTTGTCATATGCTCAGTGGCCTCAATGCAGTGTGTACTTTGTTCCCTGAAGTGTCCTCTGTTTCTTACCCCGACCCTGCCTGTGCTGTACCCCAGGACTGAGCCCAGGGGAGCTTTGCATCTGGACTGAGGCCGGGGACAGCTGTTATACCCCATGTCATTGTCTGTCTCAGCTCTGAGAATTTCTAGGGAGGTAAGCTCTCAGAGGACTCTGCAGGCTTCTATTTGTGTTTTTACTGGTTTGTAAACCAGTAAATGGTAAATGATGCCACTTGAATAATTTCTTAGATTATCTTTGCACTGTTAAGATCACACACAGTCCATAAAGGGTTGTGTCTTATCTGGTGCAATATCTAAAGAATTGGTGCTTTCTGGGAAAAAAAATCATTCCTAGACCAATAGGTTGACTTCCTCAGAGAAGGGAGTCCTCATGTCAATCTGCATGAGGTGTTATGTTCTTATCAAGGGATTTAAGATGCTTTTGACTTTTAAAAGAATAATTGGCATTTTTTTAAACTTCTCTGTGGGAATTTTCCCATCTTCCCTACCTCCTGCTTAAAAACCGCTATGTAGAATTCTGAGGTTTGTCAAGGTTTTAACTCTATCTGCTAACCTTGAAATCAAGTGTGCTATATGGTATCCAGTGAAAATGCTGGGCCCGGTGTGGCATCCTAGCCTCTGACTGGTCATGGCAGGGGACACATGTGGCCTGAGGTCATAGAGAAGATGAGGCATTTGGGCACGGGCTGCCACCTCCGGGAAGCTCGCAGCACTCCACAGGAGTTGGGGCTGCGTGTTCCAAGAGGAAGCAGAGCTTTTGTGGTCACAGTTAAATACCAAAGTGGAACTTAAGCTTGTTCTTTAGCTATTTAGTTTATGTGCAGTGAAAGTTGTCCTTCTTCCTGATAAGCTTGGGTGAAAATAAGCTGGATTTCCCAGAAACCTCATAAAGAATAGACGTTGATGGGGGCATGCACCCACGTGAGCATGGGTCACACACTCCTGCTGGGGCCTGGAGGGGTCCTCTTCTCTCATAGGCACCCCACTATGGGGACTCTGTGCCCTTGCCAGGGGTCTAGGCCTGAGCCCTGTTTCCAACGAAGCCCCCAAAGGGCATGTGTGAGGCACAGGACAATTCCCCTTAGTCTGTTGAGTGTCTCTTACTGTGAGACAAATGTTCTTCTGTTTCTTGGGAGGGGGGAGCCTTGCCCACTCTCAAGGGAAGCTGGGCTGCTGGGCACACAGCTGTCATCCAGGGGCTCCTGCGCAGTGCAGGTGTTAGGTGAATTAAGACAATTATAAACCTGTAGTAGAGGACAACTGGTCTGAGATTAGCCTGCTACCTTTTTTCAGATTCCACGTACTGAGACACTTCCTATGCCCCAGACATTATACCAATGCAACCTCATTTCAAAGTCACTAAGTTCTTGCAAGGTAGAGATACTTATCCCCATTTTACAGAGAAGACAACTGAGGCTAGGAAGCCTATCCAAAATGTTGTGCCCAAGAAGTGATAGAGACAGGACCTAAATGTAGGTCTGCTTGGCTAGACCCTGTTCTTTCTCCCACAGTGTGCTGCTTCTCTGGGATAGCAGAGAGAGGCTGTTGGCGGGTGGAGGGGGTAAGTGGCCAAGTCGCCACTGCCATAGAAGGACTATGTATTCCTAAACCTCCACCCCAAACCTGGATCCCCTGTCATTCAAAGTGATGGTCATGGTGTCACATTCTTAATGGGCAAAAGTACAAATCAGAGAAATAGGAGATAAGATGAGTAACGTGAGAAAGACAGGGTGGTGTCTGGACAACCAATGATTCACCTGTACTCCACCAGGACAGCAGATGGCTTAGAGGCTGTGATG